AACATAGTTTTTCACAATTCAGGCTGATTAGGTTCTTAAAAGGTTCTTATTTTTCAGAGATTGTCATAGTGTAACCATTGGCAGAAATATTGTACGACTAATACAAAATGGCAACATTCAAGTTCCAAGAAGAACATCAATACATTTCCACATTTTTTAAATAAGATATTTAAAAGATTTAAAATCGTCTATATTTGCAAGGTAGCTTTATGGAAAACATAAGTTCTAACATACTTCTAGTGAAACTCCAAACAAATGTAAATTAAAGAAAACATATACACAATTATCTTTTGTCGAGAATTTTTCCCATCAAAATTGGAGTGACTGTTTTAAATAAGGACCTATTTTTCTTTGCCAGGCTGAACAGGTTCTTATATTTTTGGGTATTTAAATGCCAAATTCAGCCTGTAGGCTCTTAAATCACTAGGTTCTTATATGCGGGTTTTTGCTGTATATACTGGACAAGCATCCGCAAGAGTTGTAGAATTGTTTCGTTAAGAGTAGCCTCCCAGGGGCTCTCTTGCCTGTTGTTAAAAACTTTCGCCGCCGTTTATTCCGACCTAACTGATCGCCCCTAGGTCTGCGTACGTGGATGGCATTGGGTCAACAATTTAGCGAATTGCTCACTTCTGTCATGATTGCAATAACAAAAGTGGCAAAAGTCAGACAAACACGAAGGTAAATATTTGTTTCAAAGCAGAACAGGGTTGTTAATCTGCAACATGCATTTTTCGGGGGAATAGCACAGGTGAATATATGAAAAATGGGGAAATAATACAAAATTGAACAATAGCTACTGTCGCGACTTGCACATGCGCCGTACCACACAGGCCATTAGTTATTACCATTAGTTAGTGCCCTCGGGCCTTCCGGCCTTGAAGGCCTTTTCATAAGCCCGCCTTGATTCAGTGTGTTGGTCCAACAGTACGGTTTGTAGAATAATGATCGACTGGGAAAGGATATGAATCTGCCATTTTTCTTGCTTGTAATTGTAGCTCTTCACTGCATAGGATTTTTTCTAATATAGGAATGGTCTCAGGCTTTTAAGCTGCTGCTTCAGGAAAGAAAACAAATACAGATACCTGTTTCCTTAGATGACATGTCAGTTTGTCTATCAAATAGTTTTTCTGGTGACAGTGACCATGTACGTGTGGAACATTTGTTTCGAGGAAAACTACAAATATTGCTGTTCACTCAGATGCATCAAGCAAATTAAAATGAGGAAATTCTTGAACTTTTAGACGTTTCTCAGCTATTTGCTATTATAGGGAGCGAAATTGAACATAAAGTTCGAGGAATTCGAACGACAACTCCTCCGGGCAACTCCCTACACTGCTATTATATCGACGGTGTTGCCTGGTATGGCAGTCATGAACTTCGCATTATTGTTTTGGACCTTCGCCTTGATAATCTTCAACATTCTCGCCCTAAAGTTTCTCTATTGTTGTTTCGCACCCAGGAAAAAATTGCACTGAGGCGGTGGAAAATACATTAGAAGGGTTTTTGTTCTTTTTTGAGTCACTTATAGATAAGACAAACAAGAAAAATACATCGCTGCAGTCACCACTGTCGTAGAGGAATTGTCTTAAAGACAAATATGTGGCATTTTGTCTTTACAATTAGTCAGCTTTGCAGTGTATGCACCGTCGTCAAGAGTACCCGTCTACTCGGGCTAGTAGCACCCTGAAACAGATTTATTTACAATCTATACTTTGTTGGTATTAGAATATATTTTTTGGAACTTTCGTTCCCAGTTTCCTTTCTTTATGTATTGATTTCCACAACAATGTGGCATTTTGTCTTTACAATTAGTCAGCTTTGCAGTGTATGCACCGTCGTCAAGAGTACCCGTCTACTCGGGCTAGTAGCACCCTGAAACAGATTTATTTACAATCTATACTTTGTTGGTATTAGAATATATTTTTTGGAACTTTCGTTCCCAGTTTCCTTTCTTTATGTATTGATTTCCACAACAATGTGGCATTTTGTCTTTACAATTAGTCAGCTTTGCAGTGTATGCACCGTCGTCAAGAGTACCCGTCTACTCGGGCTAGTAGCACCCTGAAACAGATTTATTTACAATCTATACTTTGTTGGTATTAGAATATATTTTTTGGAACTTTCGTTCCCAGTTTCCTTTCTTTATGTATTGATTTCCACAAAACTGAAGTCGACTAATGTATACGGAGCATTTCCACAGTAGACTTAAGAAATAAAGGTAAAAATATTTCAAATAAAGTAAAGTTTAAAATTATTCACATTTAAAACTACGTTGTCAGTCTTCTAAATTTATTCCTGTTTGCTTTCCTTTCACAAAACGGGAAAACAACTGCCGCACTGCCTCTCTCCACTATGGGCTAAGAAAACTAAAAAAAATCACGTACATTAATATTTAAAAACTTCAAAGTAATTTTTTCCACTGAAGAACTTCAATTGAACTTTAAAAGTTTGCTTTTTAATAAGATAATTTTCGATATTGATCGCATACCATGTTCATGAACTTCTCTCAAAGATCACGGCGAAACGGCGCAAATCGGCTAAAACTTTTGCTGGCTTTCACCGTGACGCTATCAATGATAAAAAATTGAAACCATTCAAGCGAATGCTGGCTCCCGCTGATTGGGCACAAAAAATGCTTTGTATTATTGTGCCCAATGGGCGAACAGTTTCTCCTGAGTTGTTTGCGTGAGTTCGTACACGACGGGTATTAGGGAGCTTAAGCAACAACGACGGCGACGGCTACAAAAACGTCACTTAAAAAGTGAAGTCGCGCTACTTCAAACTTTATCGCGCTTATTCCATCTCGTTTACTTCGTCAAATGTTGGCAAATGTTTTTGGAGTTGAATTCTAAAGGACTGTATCAAAGTTCAGGAAAAGAAAAGAAAGTTGTTGTCTTGTGTTCCCGTCCTCGACAAAACGTGAATTCAGGCACTTTCACGTTGTAGTCGGGCAACGACGGCAAAGAAATGTACAAAAAAAGCGTGATGCACGTGCAAAGTTGTTGTTTTGCTAATCTAAACCTATCGCTTTTTTACCGTTCTCGTTGCCGTCCGCGTCGTCGTTGCTTAAGCTCCCTAATATTATCTCGGCACAGTTGCCCGGTTCGTTCACCAAGCTTTCCTAACCAGAAACGAAGGAACTACCGATGAGTCGAAAAACGTTTCGGAGGCTATCAGCATGAGCAATTCAATTTGCACTGAGAAAATTCTGTTTCTGACGGATCACAATAGGGCCATTTATACGAGGAAAAATAAGACGCGTCTTACATAAGACGCGTCTTAAATAAGACGCGAACTGTACCATTTATACGAGCATGTCTTATCTAATAAGACGCGTCTTAGCTAAGCCGCGTCTTATTTTAGACGAAATGTGCCGTTTATACGGAAAGTTCGCGTCTTATTTAAGACGTGTCTTATGTAAGACGCGTCTTATTTTTCCTCGTATAAATGGCCCTAATGTATCGTAAATAATAGGAAGTTTAAGATGCAGCGGCGACGAGGAAGTAAAAAAAGCAATAGCTTGACAAGGCAAAACAACAACTTTGCACGTGCATCACGCTGTTTTGTACATTTCTTTGCCGTCACTGCACAACTACCACGTGAAAATGCCCAATTTCACGTTTTGTGAAGGACGTAAACAAGCAACGACGAAAGTTTCTTTCCCTTTATAAACTTGGAGATGGTTGATAGAAATTCACCTCCAGACGAGTTCGCGTGCATTTGACAAAGTAAGTGAGTTGGAATAATCAAGATAGAGACTGAAAAAATGTGTATTCACTTTTCCTGCGACGTTTTCGTGGCTGTCAGCTGTCAGATTGGGCGCAATAATACAAAGAATTTTTTGTGCCCAATCAGGAGCTACACATTCGCTTGACCGTTTGGAGAGTGGTCCGGTGAGAGTCGGTACCCAGGGGCTTTTTCGCCTGTGCTTGAAATGACTTCCGTCGCGCCTTTGCTCCCGACCCGTCTGACTGCCCCTGCGTCTCCGAGGATGGCTACAAACAAAAGCACCTGCGATATTTTGGTCATCAATTTCATTTTGATGCGTTTTTAATGTTTTCGACCTTCCACTCTAATACGATGTGAATGCGTTTTCGTTTTGATCCACTTTCAAGAGTATTTTCAAATTTTCAAATCTATGTGTTTTCGATGAAAACGCTCGGCACGGTAGTGTGGACGGACGAAATCGAAATGTATGAGTTTTCAAACGAAAACCTATTAGTGGACGGGGGGCTAAGAATTACAGCCGCCAATGATGTTATAATACAATAGAATACTTTACTCCAGAAATAAAAACTAAAGTTACAAAACATTTCTCGAAAGGGGATATCTAGAGGTTATTATTCCACGCATAACGATCCGTACAAAGAAAGAATATTTGTAGCAGTTTAGGATGGCAACTTTTACACAGAGCTTGTAATCGTGATTGGCTCTAGTTCGATTACACTAAATATTCAAGTAACAGAAGACGTTTTCCGTGTTTGCATAGCCTGATATAAACACGAAAGAGGTTAGAAGAATTCGAGACAGATATTCAAAACCAAAACGAAGTCTAGGGTTCAATTTTTCTTTTCGTCTCTTAGTTTTCATTTTTAACCTTTGCAAATTTGTTTTGAAGTTTTTGCTTTTTATCAAATATATATTTTTTGATGTATTATTCAGTTATTGATTTCTTTGGTAAACTTTTGTCTATTGTTTAAAAAAATCAAGAACGAAATCAGAGGCGAACATGTGACGAGTGTTTAATGGTTAAACACTGAAAAGACATTTAGTACATATAAGGATAGTTATATTTGTGGTATATTTGCTTTAGGTTTCACTATAGAAAAAGACTTTTGTTTTGTTTGTAGGTCTTATTTTTTTTTTATCGTTTTATCGTTTCTTACGCATACTGATACAGGACAAGTTTTAAGTCAATTTTTTTTAACGACGTAATTACATTGCAGACTATAGGAATTAACATCAAAATCGACATGGCCTATTGTTAATTTCTTTTTCTTTTAGTTTGACTCGTAAAAGGTTTCTACTTCGTCTGGAGTAAAGCTGGAAGTTCCTGCCAGGAATGTTTTGGCGAAGGTGCTGCCGTAGCTGTACCCGCTCGGTGGGCTGTAAGTATAGTCAAGCTGGCTGTATGAATAGCTATTGGATGACGCGGAGTTGGAAATGTAAATGTCATGTCCTCCACCGAATGTGGGTCCATACGATGAATGAAAACGGATCGAATATTGGCTAGAACTATATTTTCCCGTTTGAGGCAGTTTAACAGGTGCCCATCCTGGCTTGTTCACCAGTGAAAACAGAAATAAGGCTTTGGAGTCGTACTGATATATATACTTACTGCTGGAATCTATCAGAGAGAAAAGAAATGGAAAACAGCTGTCACTAGCGACGCCATCTTGATACTCACTTGCGAAACCATCTCCCTTGTACACAGAGTCACACAGTCACGAAATATATGTTTGTTAAGAGTAGTTTACTTTCTCATATAAACTTGTTTGAGTTGTAGTTGACAGTTTTTATTTGTCAAAACAAAACAAAGCAACTCTTAACTCTACAATCACAGTTATCAAAGTATAAGAAATAATAAACGAACAACCTACAAAAAGGCCACAGCACCATTTACACTTATGTACATTTTCTAAGTTTTAGGCGCATTGAGGAGTCAGCTGAATCCGTCACCCTAACAGCTTCGATTTTTGTTGTTTACTCCTCTGCGTCTGGCTTGTGTCTCCGATTACGACTCCTACTTTATTGCGATTGAGAACCCCCCCCCCCCCCCCCCCCCCCCCCCCCCCCCCCCCCCCCCCCCCCCCCCCCTCTCTTTCCTTCTTTACTTTTTTTTTTTTTTTTTTTTTTTTTTTGTTTTTTTTTTTTTATTTTTTTATTTTTTCCTCTACCTCTCCCTCTCCTTCTTTTTTTTTTTTTTTTTTTTTTTTTTTTTTTTTCTTTTTTTTTTTTATTTTTTCTTTTTTTTTTATTATTTTTTTTTTTTTAACCTTCCTTTCTTCCAGAGCTCAGCCTTTTAATCCGTGGTCATTTAAATTATTTTTTTCACCCTTCCAAAGTTTGTTTGAATCTAGTAATTTCGCAATGCCCCTAATCCTCTTTCCATCGATTTTAGGTTTTTTAAAGATATTTCTAATCTTTCCATCGTAATACTCCTTTTGATTTGAAAGTTACATCTAAATTTGTAATCCTTTCTCTGTCTCAAATACACAGGATAAAAATTGACTTTTTAATACCTCCTTAAGAGGTCAGTGCCGTAATATGGGCAATCACCAACAAAAAAAATGGTCACTGGAACAGGTCATTTTGATATTTTGAGAGTGAAACAGGTAAAAATTGAAAACAGTAAGCGCCCTCAGTTACATGCCTAAGCACTGTCAAAGGAGTCACCGACTGGACCGGATCCTTGAATGATTTAGTCTACAAGCAACTCTGTCATTTCAGAAAATATGCAGTCTATGCTTTAAATATATCGTCACACTTGGAGAGAGAATGGGGATGGGATGCGAAGGAAAGAGGTAGAGCAAAGCTAGAAGAAGATCCATAAAAACAACGCTTTTATCAGTGTATCCTCAATATGTAACTTTGTTTTTAGCTTTATAACAAAGCTAGTAACGGTAGTAAGATTATCCCTGTTCATAATGTCCACTTACCCCATGAAACACTGGTGTATCCTCCAAAAATATATCTCCCGACCCTTATTATTGTTACAGTTGGTCCTTTGCCATCACATCGTGAGTGAAATGTACTTGCAGCCCAGCCGTCCACAGATGCACGCCAACAACGCTTCCAGGCGGAATTCACGCTTCGTGCCACAGGGGACAGCCAGCCTCTTAAAATCCTCAAGTAATTTCTGTTATTTCCCACTATTGCGGAGTCTAAATCTGAACAAACGTCGAAAAAAAAATTTTTTGAGACTAAAAGCTCTAATGAATAATGTCAACACGGAGCATATTGTCTTTTCAAGTAAAATCTAAGCCTTAAATATTACGCCCAGGGATATGGTTCGGCAGCAGACCCGCCTTAAAATTTTTTTATAGCTGAAACTTACTTGTTATTGTTCACAAAACGTTTCCGGGAAATCCGGGTGGAAAGAAAATGGAGCACGCCGTTTTTGGCTGTTTCAGCGGAAGATTTCAGGGAACGGCGTAACATCAGAAAAAAAATCAAATCCGCATTGAAACCCCTGCTTAAAGACTACTTTCAATATATCACGGAGCTTACCGGGTTTTCTTTGCACTACCACGTTGATTCTGGTCTTCTTTGTTCCCATCGCGTTCGTCGCGATGCAGTCGTACAAACCGCTGTCAGCAAGAATCAAGTTCTTAATGGTTAGTGTACCATTGTTTAGCTCAGTTCGTACACCTGGAAAAGGCATTCCAACTCTTCTCCAGCTTATTACGGGACGAGGGAATCCTTCAGCTTGACAAACTGCCTGAAAGGTACTGCGTTGTACTGGCGTGGCGGGTGACGGTGGAACTTTTGTGAAGACTGGAAGACCTGACAGAAGATGTATACGGCAAATAATATGTATATAACGACGAATAGAAAACAATTGCGAGCTTTTGGACGACGGAGTTTCTATGTTACCTTTACGTTATTATATTAAAAACTAAATACTATATAATAATTATTGTTTGTACAAATTATTGTAAGTAAGACAAAAAATGAATAAAAAAGCAAACGAAAACAAACAAATAACAGAGAAAAAAAAAGAAAAAAAGAAAAAAAGAGATCTGCCAGCAAAATCACTAACAAGGGTGTGATCCAGTCAGCGCCCTTTACAGGCATAAAATATATCATCACTAAGCAACTAAGTATGAAAAATAAAGTTTCAATTATTCTCTGATCTTACCTCGAACAGAAAAATTACAAGTGGCCTCCTGTAGTTCAGATTCTTAACGATCAACTCTCCTCCTTTTATCAAATATTTTGCTCCTGACAGAAGCTTTCTGCCCTTGAATCGCCATTCGACGGCAGGGGGAGGATTTCCTCCAACTGTACAATAAAAAGCTGTATTTGTTCCTTCATCTCGTGTCCGTTCTGCCGGCGACAACATTACTTGTGGAGCAGATATCGATTTTCCAGGCATTCCAGGCGGTCCAGGCACACCTTTCGGCCCAGGCTCTCCCTTGTCTCCTTTTTCTCCTCTCGGCCCTGCAGGACCCGTCATTCCTGTTTTTCCGGATTTTCCAGGTGGTCCCATGGGACCTTGAGGCCCCCTTTTCCCCTTTGGTCCCCTCCTACCACGGGGTCCTTTTGCCCCAGTGGGACCAGGAAGTCCAGGGGGACCTGCGGGGCATACTTTCTCACTTGACGTACAGTACTTGAGGGGCATAAGTTGCTGAAAATGTTTTGTGATTTCTTTTCTCACGTCTTGTAATGTTAAACTAGCTGAAGTGTCGTTTAAAACGTGCCTTCTGTTTCTTGGTCGGATGGTTGTAAAAGCCATTTTTGACAACGGTACAACTGCAGTAAGAAATGTTACATATAAATTGTAATAAATGATTTGGTTAAAGAACAAATAAATTTAACAACGTTGTACGAATTGGGACGTTCGTTCAAAGTTAAACTGAGTTATTAGGTCAATTACTGACACCAGCATAGAGTGAGTGAAAATGACATGTCCCTTTCCATAGATGGAAGTGTTTACGGGAAAGAGACACCGGATAAAAAGCTACAGTAAAACGGGGAACAAAAACCCACGTGCATGGTAGGCGTTCGAAAGGGAAGGAAAAGGGTTACGTAATTAAGACCCGCGATAAATTTTTTGGTGCACCAAAAAATTAACTTCGATGCTTTTTACTTAATATAAGACAGTGATAAGAGGCCTTATGATCACAATAACAATCCAAAAAGAAATGCGAAGTAATTCACACGAAGTAATTACAAACTAGAAGTACTATATATTACCGTAAAAAAAACTTGAAAAAAAAACCTCTCCTTGAGGATTGTCGGAACGAGGAGAGGAGGAACTATTGGTCTAATGCCGCTCAATTAGACCAATAGTTCCTTCTCTCTTCGTTCAGACAATCCTCAAGGAGAGGTTTCTAGTTTGTAATTACTTCGTAGCTCTTTGTGTGAATCTCGCATTTCTTTTTGGATTGTTATTGTGATCATAAGGCCTCTTATCACCGTCTTATATTAAGAAAGAAAGACAGAACAAGGTATAAACAATAGCCACTTTTGTTATTATTGTACTGCCCGTGAGGGCAACGCCCAATCAAGAAATGGTTCGAATCTGTTTCAAAAAAAGACAAAATGGCCGATGGATCTCCCAGAAGGCTTTGCGTCCTACTCTCTCCTCAATGGTGCCGATATTTGCAGGGAGGGGACCGGTCATTTCAGGTCGTCTTGCAAACAGAAATGGAAGTCGAATTGGAGCGAACAAAACAAATTGCGTGGAGTTATTTTTCCCTCTATATCTACGCCCAATGATTATCTAGATACAGTAGTCGATGATGTTGTTAGCCTGCGCTGGAGCAAAAAAAATGCCTTCCCACGGTCCCCTTGGAAAAGTTTCAATTTGATGGAATACTCTCCCTGCGTGTGAAAAGTCTTTCCTTACAAGATGACAAGGAAGGAATGCTATTTGTAGATCGCCCCGTCAAATAGAAACATATTAACTTGGATAGTTAGAAGGGCTTTAAATGCAATATCATACAGAAATGTGAAAACTGAAACTTAATTTTCTTTGCGAGGTTTTTTAAGGAACAAATTGACCCTGTCTTGTTTAAATTTTATAAGCGGAGAACGACAATAATTTTTGGAATTTCTGGTTAGGTCATATCAGTCACGTTATACTGTCATGCTATATTTTGCAGAGGGCAGAGGGGTTGGGAAGGGATGCATTGAGGATTTCTTCTTTCAAAAGGCGAAATACAGTTAACTACCTCAGTGTTCTCCTTATCAGGCGGTAGTCGCTACAATTTACCTCCTGAAGCAACACTTCTTACCGCCTGCAACCGCTTGAAGGTTTACTAAAATGAAATAAGTAGTTTTAAAAAATACGCAAGGTGCGATCCGATCCGATCAAGGAAATGAATGAATATATGGAAAAGTGCTTAAGTATACACAGCTTTTCTTTTTATGGGCAACGCATTTTGGAAAGAAAACAGTGAATACAGAGTAAAATTATTGGGAGCAAACGTTTTAAGTTGTTGTCTAAAGATACCAACGACCGATTTGCGTAAAAGAGGTCTTAAAATGAGGGAATGACGTTTCCAAGAACTTGGCTACTCATGTCTCTCACTTAGGCTTTGGTAGATTGTGCTAGCATAATTTTAAGCATAATTCAGCAAGACGAGCATTATTTTAAGCTTTTATTTTAGTTCGAGCACTGCTAGCATAATCCGAGCTTTTATGCGCTGAAAACAAAAAAAACCATCATAGCTCTAGAATAATTCAGTTTGTATTTTATTTCTGTATTGTTTTTGGAAAATATTGAGGTCTGTGCTAAGGCCCATGGTCAAATATGGTCCGGCAGGCGGCAGAGGTCACCCTGTGCATAAGACTGAGACTCATGCAGGCCATCACGCTTATATGGCTCGGCGGCTCGAGTACATCCACTTCCACCACTTCCACTTCTTCCAGTGCCGTACCGAGAGCTTTAATCTCTAGAGAACGTGTTCCTAAAATTAATACCGGGAAGTACAAGGAAAGAGGTAACTCAGATCCAAAGAACATGAGTCCTCGTGATCGAATCGAAGGGGGAAAATTTGTGTCTTGGAGGTGGAAACTGTTTTGCAATGGGTGTAAGGAGATATTGAGCTCTAAAAACCGCATTCTCAAAAACCACTTGGCTTCCAAAAAACATGCCGCAGGCAAGAGAAGTTAAAAGTGACAAAAAAGCGAGATTATNACGTGTTCCTAAAATTAATACCGGGAAGTACAAGGAAAGAGGTAACTCAGATCCAAAGAACATGAGTCCTCGTGATCGAATCGAAGGGGGAAAATTTGTGTCTTGGAGGTGGAAACTGTTTTGCAATGGGTGTAAGGAGATATTGAGCTCTAAAAACCGCATTCTCAAAAACCACTTGGCTTCCAAAAAACATGCCGCAGGCAAGAGAAGTTAAAAGTGACAAAAAAGCGAGATTATGTGTGCACATGCCTGACATGCGTATTTGCCATGCTAAAGACTGGAAGGTGGACTATATGAATGTTCATTAAAGACAAAATTGATAGAGTTAAGCTACTGATGGTCTTTATTTTCCTTAAAATCAGTGTAAAATCTAAGTAGCATAATTTCGGTGACAGAGAGCATAATTTCCAGAAAGTAGCATAATTTTAGCATAATTTCTAAAAAATATGAGCACTGCTAAAAGCATAATATGCTTTTTTTTCGAGCACAATCTACCAAAGCCTACTCTCACTCCACTACCCCCATTCCCCCCGGGCCCCATTCCTCCCCAGAAAAGTGCACCTCTGGGGCATGAATGGTCCCTTACCCGCTGAGCTAAAATTTGGAGAGAACACTGTACCTTTATAGCGGATCTCGGGACCTTGAGTTAGTGCCCTCTTTAGCGAGAGCCCGTAATAGCGGGAGTTTCTTTCAGTCAAACTACGACATCTATGACTGAGATAGGATAATCATACCTAAAGCATCGATTTTACCTGAGTTAGAGGCGATCCCTTCTGAAACATGTGTCTGCATATTCTTGTAAAGATCTTTTGCGGTATCTTTCGCCGGCGAGAGAGTCATCTTGTCAAGATTTTCGATAGAAATACTCTTAACGCAGGAAAAACAGTGAATGCGAGATTCCAGCGCGACAAGTCGTTCGTTGATTGTTGTATTCTTCACCCAGAGGCATCCGCAAACAAAAACTAACATCACAGAAAGAAACGATGGCCTTACAGATGGAACAAAATCAAGGAGTCGATGAGATCTTGAGGTGTTTAAGGGTTTCATTTCTTCAGCTCTACAATCTCTTTCTTTCACAGCCACACAGAGACGAACGTTTCATGTGGGAAAGTTGCCACCAAAAATATACCTTTACCGGAAAATTTGGCCTAAAAAAAATATGGTTGATATGACAACTGACGTGAAGCTACCCTGAATGTTGACCTGTCTTACCGGTATTCTTACATTCTCGTGTTGCATTGGTCAAAGTTTCAGTGTTACGTACACCGTACTTCATTGGAATATAGGGAGTCGCTTGAAAAGTGAATTTGCGTGCTTGCAATCTCTATCCGGCCGATTACTCAAACTCATTTATTTTGTCAAATGCAAGCGAACTCTTTTTGAGCCGAATTTCAAGTTTAGAAAGAGGAAGAAACTTCAGCTGTCGTCTGTTAACGTCCTCCATAAAACGTGAAATTAGGCATTTTCCCGTCGTAGTCGTGCAGTGACGGCAAAGAAGTGTACAAAAAAGCGTGATGCACGTGCAGAGTTGTTGTTTTGCCTATTCAACCTATTGCTTTTTTGACGTTCTCGTTGTCGTCGCCGTCGTGGCATCTTAAAGTCCCTAACGATAGCCAGTGTACAGAAGTCCCCTCTCCTAGAAAAAAATTGGAGAGTCCAGGCTCTCTCCCCGATTAGTCTTCTTTTTTTTTGGAGAGAAAGGGGCGTCTGTACACTGGCTATGGAAATGAGCACACATAACTCAAAGAGACATGTCCTCAATTTGAGTACTTTCGTGACCAATATTATACTTTGAAATTGGCGCTCGAATAAGGCACATCAGTTTTTTTTTTTAACAGAGCACCTATACATTTTGCGGTAAATTAATAATAGTGTTTAATAAACAGGCGAATTGCCAACTAGCCTGTGTGACAGGCTGAACGTGCCCTCCTTCCTCGCGCGCCCCAGAGCCCAGATTCCCCTTTTCCTTCCCTTTCGAACGCCTGCCACACAGGCTAATTGCCAACAGGAAGGTTTTATTATTTTGTGGCTTACTAGGCTACAGTTGACCAATCGAGTTTTTAATAACAGGATGCGAGCGGTATATTTCTGTTAACTCCTTTTTTGTTGGGTCAGCTCGATATATAAACGCCAGGGTGACACGTATCATGGCTTTTATGCATTAGTGCCCCGGGTAAGGCCCGGCAGGTCGGTAAAAATTCCCAAAAGGGCTAACAGATGCTTTTCAGACTGTGACAAAGTCGAGAAAACGCCTGGTTTTGTGATTTATTCAGCATATTTTTAAGACAGTGCATTTACAGCAGTTAAAAGGGATGCAAATTTTAAGTTCTAAACTAGGCTTGTGAAAGGAGAACCATTTGTCAATAAAAGGGATATGAAAGGGGTACGTTTTCTTTCTAAATGGTATAAAAGCCCGGATAAAAGGTCAAGGGGTTAAACTTCGGGCGGAGCCTCCCCGTATTCGAATTGAATAGCCGCAGCCTCGCCTTTGCACTTGATAAAGCCTTTTTGAGCCCTAATGCGTGTCAAGATCATGGGGAATGTATGCGTTTGTTCACGAACGATCGGGGTTTTTCCCGGGTTGTTAATAG